ATATATATATCTTAATAAAAATGTATCCGTGACTGTGAGTTTTGCAAACGTGTCATAAGAATATTTTATTAGTGTTAATGTTAACCCCACCAAGAATATTTAAATACACTGAACCATGTGTTCAGCTTTAATGGCTGTAATCCTGAGATTTACAGAGGAAAAAATCGTGAGAATGAGTTTAGTATTTAGCTATGACTGATTAAATGCGCAAGTACTTCATTGCTCCGGTCAAACAGGTTACGCTGAGTGGAGCGGTCGACCGTTTCAAGATGGCGGCCCTAAATCTCGTCAGCGCCAATAGACGATAGCGGTCAATGCTGTATCTAGTGATTATATGATAGCTATGGTATCTTGTGGTTATATGATTTCTATGGGCGGGTATGCCTGTCATATGGCGTAAGCAGGAAGTGGACTACAGCGCAAGGCATTCTGGGTAAATACAATCAAAACAAAACAAACTACTAGCGGGAGAAATGTCTCGTGGTCAGACGTGGAGTGAAGAGGAGGTAAAGGTCCTCATACAGATATGGTCAGACGAAAAAGTTTCGCAGTTACTTGTGAACACTCACAAAAACTACGAGGTTTACAGACTAATTAGTGTGAAAATGGAGAAGTTGGGATTCCCTCGCACAGTTGCACAGTGCCGCACCAAGGTAAAAAAACTTCGGCAACAATACATTAAAATACGTAATATGCTCAGGAAAAGCGGCAGTTCAGGAGACGCGAAGGACAAGTTTCCTTGGTACGACGAACTAGATCTTGTTCTTGGCACTCGACCCACGAGCAGCCCACAACATGTGGACTCGCACCAAGAGCCTCCGTCCTCATCCACCCTGGCTCCGAGCGACTCCGAATCCACAGAGCAGGACTCAGTAAAAAGTGGTCAGTGTGTGACTATACTATGTAATAATGCTTGAGTAAACTATTTCAATATTGGCATTATGCTTCATTATAAGATGAGCAGTTACATCTTGCCAGTTTGCGTTTATTTCCCCCGATTTATTACAAATAGAGCAGCCAGTATGGATCATTCCAGTGTATAACTGTCGATGTGTTTGTAACATTTTAATCAAGCAGAGAAAAGTGCCACCAACTTTGAAGTTGAAGAGACACCCACCACAAGCTCCCTGCTGGATGAGCTGGCTGCGGCTCAGAAAAGAAAGAAAAAGACAAAGGCTGACAGGTTTGAGAAGATGCTTGAGCGCTACCTGGATGAGAAGAGAAAAACGGATGAGGACGAATGCAAAAGAATGAAGCAGGAGTCCGCCTCTTTTGAGAACTTCTTAAAAATGCAGCAACAAGCTGTAGAAAGACATTTCCAGTTGATGCAAGAGCAGCAGACGGCCAACAACAAGAGGTTCTTTGAGATGATGTCTACTTTTCTTCATGCTGCAATGCCCCAATCTGTGACACCACCTACCACACAGCAGTGGATGCCTCCGCCCACAGCAGTCAGGCCCCCGTTGTGGCCCACTTCATCCTCTCACCAGCCCTCTGCACACACTGACCACCAGCATAATATACAAACTACGCAGCACAGTACACCTGCATCAGCCCAAACACCACAGGAGCCAGACATGGCAGCCACATCTCAGCATTCAACATCTTCTGTTCTAGATGATGTCAAGAAAGATTCCAATGATTTGTAGTTTATACAAGTGAAAAGATACGAGTGAACCATTTTGAAACATTTTTCTTTTAAACAGTTTGAACAACTTGTACAAAAGTTAGTCAACAAAACATATTTTGTTAAAATGTTCAGAAGAATGTGTACAAAAATGTTGAACGTTCAATGTTGAAGTATTATTTGTTACAATAAAAAAGTATGAACATGTCTGTGGGCAGAACTATGTATGAAGCAGACTCGTATAAGCCGAGCCCATTTTCTGGACGGACTTCCGGTAAAGTGTTTACTTGTTGGATGACGATATCTATCCCTGAGGTTTAAATTAAAGAAATAAAAGTTATTGGACGCTTTATAATCAATTCAAGACGCCTAACAAGTCGGCTAGTGTACGTACAAATTTATTATAATATGAGAAATGACGCGTAAATCTGTGATTCACGGAGCTCCGCGGGTTTGCTTTTAAATTCCGCTGCCAAACACTAAACAAAGTCTCGACATTTGGTAACAACAGTTAACAAAGTTTTTTTTTTTAATATTCATTAGACATCATAATGTCCACGGTTTGTCTCGTGAGATCATCTTTCTGCTCATTCATTGACGCTAATTGACAAAACTGGTGTTGACCACCTAATGACTTTCTATGCGTTACTACGCTAACAGACTGTTTACGGCCAATACGTCATTTAACATAGTTTTTAGTAAGACGAACACATGAACATAAATATATATATTTGTGTGTGTGTGTATGTATTTTTTTTTTCAAAGACGAATGTTTTAAATAATACTGGGAGACGCAGTCATCCCCAGGCTGCTATTTCTCATTATTTTCACACAAGATTGTTTATTGATAGTTTGAACATCCAACATGAAGATGTAACTTGCAGTCAGAGGTTCAGGAGCTCATCTGTAGTTTGGTCATAGTGACCTTTAACCTCTTGACTGAGCCTAAACAATGTTCAAACACCTCTGCATGAACCAGCTGAGAAGTTCTGACCATCTTTCCATCTGATTTTATGTTTGACGAGTTTAAAGCAAACCCAAGGCTCTGCAGCCATTATATCTGTGTGTACCTGAATGTGGTTTAGATAAACCCGCCATCAAATGAGTTCCTAAATGGTACTTTTCATATGACAGCACCCATGAAGATTTCCTCTGCTGACAAGTAGAATCCTCATTGTTAATAAACCCTACAAACTTCAAAGGTTTACATTAACTAGTTTTCTTTTATATTTCAGACAACTAAAGTCTTGTCCTGTAAATATGTCTTAATAAAATTTATTTAAAGCTTGAGGGGCAGCACGGGGGCACAGTTGGCAGAGCTGCCGCCTCTCAGCGAGCAGGTCGATGGATCAAATCCCGGCTGAGGCCCTTTCTGGGTGGAGCATGTTCTCTCTGTGCATGCATTGGTTTTCTCCAGGTACTCCAGTTTCCTCCCACAGACCAAAAACATGCATGTTAGACTGATTGGTAACTCTAAATTGTCTCTAGGTGAGAGTGAGAGAGTGAATGGTTGTTTGTGTCTATGTGTCCCTGTGATGGACTGGAGACCAGTCCAAGTTGTCCCCCGCTTCTCGCACAGTGACTGCTGGACATGGGCACCAGTGACCCCCGTGATCTGGAAAGGTAGAAGTGGGTAAAAATAATGGATGGAAGCAAAGTTTGACCCAACTAAAAGAAACTGCCCCGAGATCCTGACTCAACTTTTGTTGGATAAAGCTTGAACAATTTTTTATTTTTCAAGTTACAGAACTGAAATGTTGATTTTCTACCATCTACAAAATTTAAAAAAGAAACCATCGAAGGCACTTCAGATTTGTAGAGCAGCTTGCAACATTTGCCAAGCAGGTGTGTCCTGCACAGTGTACATATAAACCTGACCTGTGAACTGTGACCTGTGTTTTTGTGTTCAACAGGTCAATGGCCCATTTCCTCCCTGCTGTACCGTCTAATCTCACCTCCTTTCTCCACTCGGTGCTTCCATGCGGCTTTGCTTTGGGACCATCACTGTTCAGTAAAGGCAGTTTGGGGCTGTGGTGGGTCGGCCACCCGCTGGAGGCTGGCACCCTGCTCTGCACTGACGCCGACCCGGATCAGGCCTCCAACAATTGTTCTGACCCGGTAAGAACATTTCACTTGAGCAGCCAAAAGGAGGAAAATGTGACTTGGCATCCCAACAAAAACACGTTTATAAGAGACTACTTTGATGGGAAGATTTAGTCTTTAGTTAAAATAACAACTTTAATGTAATTGTTATGATCAAATACTGATTTGGTAAATGTTGATCTGACTAGTTAACCTTTCGGTACGAATTGAGAAAAAGATTTTGTGCAAACTTTTTTTTCTTTTTCTTTTTACCAATCAACAATATTTGCATTCCTCCACTTCATCTCTCAGTTTAGCTAAATGAGCAATTTGATTAGGAAAGTTTAAATACATGTTTTTATATGAAAAGTTTAATTTGAGGACAATTCATAAATTCCTTGTGATTTGGATTTTAAACATTAAAAATGTGATAAATAAACAGTCAAAAACATGAAATTTACAAGTTACATTACTGATTGATTTCAACATTTCTAAAACATACTTTGAAATAATTAAACAAGTTTAAAAATAGCTAAATACCCAGTTTTAATGAAAGTTTTCCTGATCCAGATTCAATTTTACAGTTTGTTCTTTTGCTAACTGTTCCAATCTTCACTAAGTTTCATGAAATTCTGTCTGGCAGGTTTTGTTGTTATTAGTTCTGCTAATAATCAAATCAAAGACAGTGATGTCATACTGTACCTCAGCTGCTGCTCCTTACAATAATTAAGAACTAGAAAAATGTAATTTAGTTCAGACATTATTTTATCACAGTTACAGTCAGAGACAAAGGGAAGTCCCACCTTCTTCAGTTCTTGGGTTTCACACATCAGGACATAATGGACATGATCTGGTTTTAAAATGATTCAAACCTAAACTCATCGAACAAACAGGAGATTCCACAAAGTTATTTTTTATTGAACAAACATGAAGCTGACGGGGAACGACCCCTCCATCCATCATATATAAAAACATATGGGACAACGTCTCCATTGGCTGGTCCAGTACAAGTTTTAAGTTCTACTCACCACATGTATGTAAGTTTTATGCTGCTGTATGTTACAATGATATATTTTCCACTAGTAACACCATGGTTAGTGCAGGGGAGTAGGTGGCACCATTTTTATATATTACCAGACCGCTTTATTTATAAATCACTTCAGAACAGCAGCAAAGTGCTGCACAACAAAACAAAGAAGAACACAGGATTCATCCTGTGTTCCTGAATCCACAGAGGTAAAGAAACCAAATCATTAAAATAATAAAAACCCAGTGAAGTTGGATTGAAAGCCAGGGAATAAAAGTGTTTTTAAATGAGACTTAAAAACCATTAGAGAGCGAACCTGCCTGACGTGCGCTGGTAACTCATTCCACATATTACCCGTGACAGAACCTGCAGGCCGTGCAAGCAACATTTTTATGCAGTGAGCAGGACACGGTGCGGCGTAAACAAACATGCAATAAACTTACACAAGGCACTAATGAACTTTGCTGTAAATCGTAGAAGTTATGACATTTACAAGGACAGTGGGGATTATGTTTCACAACTAAATAATATATCCAAAATCATTTTTTCAATCCGAAAAATTATTAATCCAAAATGAATGATTTGGTGCCAAAAGGAAGCAAATATTATACTGGTTCTTTTTTGTTTCTATGGTATGGTATGGTATAAAGTTTATTCATTTAAAAAAATACAAAACAATTTCATAACAATATAAAAAAATACATCATCATCTATCATCATCCACTAGATGTCAGACACGTTCCTTTGATTCTAAACCAACATGTTTATTTACATATATCTGAGTAATACACCCAGTATGTGTTTATCAGACTAAAATAAAATAAAATGACCTCTTAGCACATACATCAGTATTTTATTGCTGATAACTGGTTTAAACCCTGATCACAGACTGGAAGACTGTGCTGCGACATTCATCAGCTGAGGCTGGCTGGCTTAAAATAATCTCTGTACTGGGTTTGGATGAGAGCTGTACATACTGAGTCTCTGTAGGGTTCAGATCTGATTATTAATAAATACATGAATCAAGGTCCAGTTGGTCAGCGTGCACAGATGTGTTAGGTATGTTACACCCGATCAATGGTGAGTTTCCTCATGCATGAGTTAAATATATTCCAGTGATCAGAAATCACTCATTGGGTGCAGCAGATTTATTAACATGTAATTGATCATTTATTGTAAACTCTTTTCTACATTCTGAGCAACTTTCACCACAATCTGTTGACTCTTAAAATAGTTGTTGAAGCCCAAGAATCGGGATAATCTTAGGATAAATTATCGTCTTTTTAAAATCCCATTAAAATTGTCATAACGTCCTTATTTTTCAACCAGTTTTAAAAGTTTGTATTTATTTTCTTAGTTTTTTTAAGTTGCATCCAATGGAAAGAGTTTTTATACAATCTGGGAACTTTGGTAATGCTAAAATCATATCTGAAGCACAAAATTATTATGCTATGCTTACATTATGCCACTATAAGTAATTTAAATCCGTCCATCCATCCATCCATCCATCCATCCATCCATCCATCCATC